TCAGCAGGATAAACAGAGGGAGCCGACCTAAAAGTTTTTTATTTATTTAGTCTTACAGAGCTATTGTCTTCCATTGGATTGTGTCTTCCTCGAGACTTTGCTCCAATTCTACAATAAACCTTATGGATTACTTCTTTTTCTCCTTTATAATAGCAACTAACCCAAGCACACATGCAACAACAGCATCAGAATTATGTTTCTCGCTGCCACCCAGGACCTCAGGTGAGTCTCGCGTTGGAGGTTCTTACTAAACATTCTTAGAGCCCCGTTGATTAACAGAGATGGCTGCGTCACTTTGTCCCCTAGGCATCTCTGATCACTGATCTGGTTATGTGATGGTACAGAGAAAGGCAAAGTCACCACCTCACACCCTGCTAAGCCCCATGAAAGTTTAATTGCAAAAGCAAAGAGTCCTCACCTCCATGCTGGCCAGTTCTTTGGCAGGGCTAAGGCTGTAGAGAGGGTGAGCTCTGCTGGCCTGGAACTGGATGAGAAGCAGCAAGAGGAAGCCGCAGGAGAAGGAGCCTTTAGTGTCCATGGCGCTGAGCTCGTTGGGAATCGGGGAAGTTCAGGCTGCTCCTTCTTAGATGTCTCTTCAGGTCTCTCTCTTCCTTGTCCTCTCCTCTCCCGAAGCTTGTCTTTTATACTCTTTGGGTGTGATCTCTGCTTCCTACGTTATCAGTGGATTTATCTGGGACACATTCCAGTCCCACTGGAGGCATGCAGCTCTGTCAAGGGAAGATTCCCTTTATTAGCTGTCATTAGGCAGCAGCTGCTGTTGCTGAGGAATGTATGTCACAAGTCAGTGATTTCATGTCACTCCCCCTTCTCTTGATACCAGGCGCTGTGATTACATAGTCCAGTTGGAAATTCTTAGCAATTTTGTTTCAAGAGACCCCTATGGTAAGATTCACGGAGATGGGAAATAACCCCGAAACTGCTCTAAACTCTGCTCAAGGAAAAGATTTCCATTGGGAAATTACCTTTTATAGGGAAAGCAAGAGGCTTTCAGATGAGCATTTGGGAAAGGATAAAGGGCAAGGATAAATCTGCTTTTAGGACACCTAAAGTACTGTGCACCCTTTCTTCTATATATGGAATACACATAGCCACCACATACCATGGAGTGTGCTGAAAATCCCAGATTTGGGCCACTTCACTAGTCGCTGTAGAGGTGATCTCACCATTGCAACGTGGTATTTGCATGTTGCCAACAACAGAGGGGCCCCGAGCTGCACCTCGTTGCAGATGATAACTTCTAGACCGATTCTGTGGGGACATCAAGCGCCGCCAGCCCCCCATGACAACTGACTTCAACACCAAAGAACAACACCAGCCTTTATTAACAGCTCAATTTCCTCATTAGTGGGTTTTTGTTTGTTCGTTTGTTAATATTGATGGTAACACTTAATGCTCCATTAATACAATATAAAAAAAAGAGAAGGGCAGATTCAGGAGTAGTTTCTATACTAGATTCTACTACTGTCGTACCAGGACACAGCTTGCTCAGTGAGAACTTACACAGTTTTAGATAGATGACTTACAGCTTTACTGAGCAAAGGAGTCAGAATTTCACCCCAAGGAAGAACGTGTGAGTTTGTGGGTATGTGCTTTCTGGGAGGTGTTAAATGAAATGTTTAGTTGATATTTTGTCTAAAAGTGTTTATTTGTTTCTTTGCTTCCTATCATCTTTGCTAAAAATTGTCTGGGTTTGAATGAGAAATTACAAAAAAAAAAAAAAGCAGTTGTGTTGCAAATTATTTTTCTAGCATTGTCTTTATGCAACTAAAATTTCCTCCTTTTTCCAGAACTGCAAGAGTTCTGAATTATGAAGCATATTATTTATTCTGTATTTTTGATGGACTTTGTGTTATTTGGAATTGAAATGAATGAATACATGAGGAAGCTGAGTATGTCAGATAGTAAATTATTGTCTTTAACCTGAGTGTAGATCTTGAAAAGAATCTCATGAGCACGATTTCTAAATATGAATAGAACTATAAAATATTTTTCCTGTCCTCACTGTCTTAACATGGTGTTTGTGTACAGATGTGCACTCACTGTTCACATGATCAACCTACCAAAATTATACTAGAAAGGACATTCTCAAGGTTGTGAAGTCAAGCCAAAATACTATATTTTCCTTTCCTTTTCCTTTCTTTCAGTGTTTGAAAAATTCACTTCTTCATTATGAATATTTTCTTACTGCTCTCCTTAGGTGTCTATGTGTCTGTTTGCTCAGGGAATTATGTTCATTTTGTAAAATGAGAAAGAGTGAGAAGAGAATCTGGAAGCACTTATTCACGCTGAATGCCCCAATTTAAGATAACTGAGATCTGCTTTTGTTTTAGCTTTCGTTTCTTTCCTCTCAACTCCTATCCAGCCTGCCGTGTTTTCTCCAGTGCTGCCTCTGCAAAATCGCTCTGTCTCTTGATCTGATCTCAAACGCCCAGGCTGAAATCCTGCACAAAGAAACTGAGGAACACAACGTATATTGACCGCTGTGACAAATATAGCTATCGGAGACCTGCGCTCTGTCTCTCCCCTCAGTCTGGCCCTGCGACACAACCCAGTGCTCCGCGACAGCATTCAGCAGCTTTGACCCAGGGTCACTCCTTTTTTTTATTGCTTTGTTCACTTTGCAGCTTCTGTGTTCCACAGCACATATATGAGGTGTAAGACTTTTCTACAGTGGAGGGATTTCTATGCACTATTTCTTATGATATGTGTGGGAGTACCTAGATGGGCTATAAGGGCAGACTGCTGCAGTAGCTGTTGTATTTACAAAGCCAAATCCTGCTCTCTATTACCCACCTCGCAGCCCTGCTAACCAAGTGGAGTGTAAAATGGCACAACGCAGCTTGTCATCATTACAACTGTAAGACTTGCTTTCTTGTTCGTCCTCTGATGTGGGTTTCAGGCTTAAAGACCCAGCTCTGCAGGGACAAGACGCACGCATTGCCTGTACTCTGCTGAGCATTTGCTGATACAGCTGCCCGAACTGATGTCCCCACCAGCCGCACATCTCACCAGTGATATTCCTTCTCCTATTGCCATTCTGTAACTGGAGGCTGCGGGAGTGTGAGCTGTGTGGGAGACAAAAGGAACATGAAAGCACTGGGATACAGTATGTACCCTCCCCAGCAGTGCAGGCTCTGCCTCTCCAAGGCCCTTGGGAGCGAAGTGTTTGAAAATACCTTGTGCCTTTCTGTCTGCTTAGGACTCTTGGTGCTTCACAGTGCTGTCTTGAGACGCTGGAGAGGGCTTTGCACCACTGCCTGCTCCACAGTGCGCTGTGACACAGAGGCAAGGACTGACTCGCCACAAAACGCATGCAGAAGAGAGGGGTCACTGAAGCCAGCTGGCACGAGCTGCCTCCTTCACTAAAAAGTGCTCGTGCAAGTTGAGCTGGGCAGGGCGAGTGGGGCCTGGCTGTGCTCCACGGCAGCGGGCACGGGGAGGAGACCACCCCGCTCCTGTTCGGGGCCAAGGCGCCCGGCCACGTAAGCGGTGGTGGCAGCAGGACTGCAGCGGTGCCCGGGCTGCCGGTGCCCAGCGCTCACTGGCGTCTGTCCCGGGTCCTGAACCGCCTCTCGGCCCTTCACCCGCAGCGGGAACCTTTGCAGTGGTTGGTGCCAAATTTATTTTTAAAACCATGTAGCACTTCTGTCCTTCGTGCCAGTCCCAAGACACTGATTCCAGTGACTTAGCCCGTGTGTAGGACACAACCGTGGGCCATTCACCAACCCAGTATTTCTTCAGAACCCATTACTGGACTCAGAGCTGCCCAATGCCCATTTACCAGGAGAAATCACAGCTAGCAGGGGTGAGCCCTGCCAGGAAGGCATCCCAGCTCTCTGCCACAGCCGCAGAGCTGCATCAGCACCTGGCAGTGCCCCCTCTCCTCTCCTTGATACAGGCTGATCCCTATCACAGAGGGATGCTCTATCCTTGCTGCAGCTACAGCTTGGCTAGACCTGTCAGGATGCTTTGGCCTGTGTCAGGACCAGGAGGAGAGCTCTGGAGAAGCGCTGTGTAATGTAACCGTGTGCTCACGCTGTGTTGCTGGCCAGAAAAGACTTAAAAAAGAAAAGCAGGCTTTGTACAAAGAGTTTATTGATGCATATCCAATGTCCACGGAGGTTACGGGGTATCCCAGTTCTTCCTGCAGCAGCAGCCCAGCTGCCTGGTGGCCGGACACCGCTGCCCGCTCTGGCCACAGAAGGTGCTTCAGGGCTGGCATCAGGTTCAGCTTCTCCCTTTCCTCCAGAAACCTGGGGGAAAAGCACAGAGAGGAGCTGCAGAGCTGCTTTCAGACGGGGACGGCAGCTGCTCCTGTGCTTTCCTGGTCCCCATGCCTTGGTGGACAGAAGTCCAGCACCTGCCCCAGCCTCCCACTGCTGCCCTGCGCCGCCAGGTCTGGCCAGGACCTACGGGCTTTGTAGTGGTTGCATCCGAGTCCTGTTTGAGCGCCGATCCTCTCCATCCTGGTGCCAAAGCAGCCCGAGAAGGGCCTCCTCCTGTAGGAGGAGAGGAGGCTCCTCCACCGGCTCTGCCCCTCCGCCTGCGGGGCGCTGGGGCCCGGCAGCGGGGCAGCCTGCGAGCTGCTCTCTGCCGCCAGCTCGTCCCACTCAGCCCCGCCGGCCTCAGCCCCGGCCTCCGGCTCCGCTTCCAGGCCGGGGAGCCCGCCCTCCTCACCCAGGAGCTGCTCCAGCGCCTCCAGGAGCTCCTGCAGAGGGAAGGAGAGGGGAGCCGGGGCCGCGCCGCGGCCCCGGGAGCCTCCCTGTTGTCCCCATGGGCCTGGGTGTGGGTGGCCCAGCCCCAGCGCCCCAGCCCTGGTACCTGCAGGGACTGCAGCTCCGCGCTGCGCTCGCCGCCGGCCGCCTGTGCCCCCGCGTGTGGCAGGACGAGCAGCAGCAGGGAAACCCCGCAGCACAGAGCTGGGAGCTGCATCCTGTTCAATCCCATCTTATCCGATCCTAGCCTAACCCGTGTGTCCCCACATCACCGCTCTGCTCACAGACACCTCTCCTTATATCCCCGCTCTCCGCCCCACGGGGACCTGGCTGCCTCCAGCCAGATTCCCCCAGGAGCCGGAGCACCCGCTCCGGCCTCAGCTCTGATAAGGGAACTGGTTACAACTGGCCCCACAGGGAACGTTGCAGGAGAGGGGGGGTCCACTGAACACAACAGCTCCTCTGGGGAGGAACCTGCCCCAGGTGATCTCCTCCTGTCCTGCAACACTCATTTCCCCAGTGATTTCCTGCCACCCCAGCACTCTCCGTCCCTGGGAGGGTAAGGACCAAGCCCTAAGATTTGGTTTTAGGAGATTTTCCTTCTTTCCAAATTCAGGTGATGGTAGTTCTTGTCTTCTGAAGTTTTCTGCACACCCTTCCCTTAAAGAATTCTAACCTTTCAGTGGCCTAAGTGTGCCTTGCACGATGATATTCCTCAGCTGACAGGTTTGTATAAACGTTACTTGCTCCTCTGCCATTCCTTGGCTACAGGAGGGAGTGAATGTTCTGCAATCATAGCCATGTTCATTTATATTATGCATAATAATGATTCAAATGATAGTTGGAATTAGAAATTCCTATGAATTCTTATGGAAAAAAAAATGTTCTGCCCAGAAAAGCCAGGGATCTTGCTTAAAGGAAGAGACTTTATAGATATTTGGATTTTGGCATCCCAGACAGGAGTGTTTGAATTACCAATCTGCTTCTGTAACAGGCAACCTATTTGTATGAAACTTTCTCCTATTTTGCCTCAGAGCTCTACAGTTCTATCTCATCAACTTTCAGGTAAAATGTTGGCTTCTCTTCTGTGAATGACCAATTTCAAGTATAAATGAGTACAATTTCCACTCGTCCTGGGGTGCAAATCAAGATAGCCCTGTTAGACCTTACGGAATGAAAGGCAGAGCAGCAGACAAGGTCCTTTCAATCACAGGATTAGAGCAATTACACTCTGTCTCCGCTCTCTGTCTTCCTAGTTTGCTAGCCAGTACACCTATAAATCTCTGTTTTCGCTAGATATGCGCTGATTTCTGCTGTCTATCCCAGAGTCTGAACTTTGGCTCAGCAAAGCCTAAGAAAGTTTTTTTTTTTTTCCTCTGAGCTCAGAGAGTTTTGAAAGTAGCTGTCATGATGCTTTATTACCAAGCAGCAAGATACATTATGCTTTTACATCTCCTTGCCCCCTGTTGCTGTCTTTGTGCTCTACAAATCTTCCTCCAGCTGATACCATTTGTCTTAGACTGGAAGCAAACTAGCCAATATTATGCAGTATTTCTGTACCAGCAGTCAACAGTTCACAAGTTATTTCGTTCAAACCATCATAGGAAAGAAAAAATCAAGGAATAATCCAAGAGAAAAAAATGAGACATGTTTTGAGTGCCCAGTGCATGAAGGAAGAAGGCTAGCATCAGGTGGGAATTGTTTTCTTGATGCAAAATGAGAGCAGGTGTTTAACATGAGGATGTGCTTCATCCTTGATTTTGTTTGTACTGGAGAGGGAGGAGTATATAACCTCAGCAATGGCTAAAGGGAAAGTTTAGCCTTCTTGCAATAAATGAGGGAGGCTGGAGTCTTAGGAGAGGCTAAAACTTAATTGCTGCCTAACATCACTAATGAGCAGGTACCCTAAAAGCAGGCAAGTATACTTGTATGTTTTTTCTTCATCTGTAGGAGTCATTTTACTGTAGACTCGTTTCCTTAGCTAATTTTGTAACCAAAGTCTGTAAATTTGTGTGCTGCTGTTTAGTGGAGATGGAAATGACACAGCTAGAGATGAGCTTCCTCCCATCTGACTGGCATGCTGACTTCAAAGGTTGGCTTTGATTCTTTAAATGCTAATAGAACTAAGGGAATTGCTTAAAGTACAAACACACCTGGCAACAGTCTTGCTGATCTAATTATGGAGCCTTTTATGTGAAATGAAGTGTTCTTTTTGAAAAGTGTCCTTTAAAAATGTTTGCACAAAATGCCAAGTGAGAGGATGCTGTGTACAACCTTTGTGGAATTGGAGCTCTTATTTGTACTCCATGGGACTTTGTACAAAAACGGGCAGCTCAGTGCTCAGCCTTCTCTTATCTGTTGCTATCTCAAATAGTATCACTGGCCCTCACTTTATGTTGGTGTGATTAACTTTGGAGATGTGCTGAGGATGTTGGGAAAGGAAACTCTTGTAGAACTTAACCTTCAGATTTGCTTACCGTGAAATTTTTATTGTATTTTATTTGTGTATTCAGCACTCACTAATTAGCTCGCAAGTGGCAAATAGAGTAAGACTAATAAAGAGTGGTAGCTAGAAAGGCTTTCCGGATATGTTGCTGGATTTTCTGCTTAGGAGTTGTGGCACTATTGCTTTGGTGATAGCTTCCTAACTACGGGGCTGAGCCAGGATATTTGCAAACCAGCCTATATCCAGAATTGCTTTTGCTGAGGGTTTAGACTAGTAGCTGTTCTCTGACAACAGCTTCTCTGCTGGCCATAGTTAGATTGAGCTGCCTTTTAGCTTTGATGATGTCCCACTTATGTTCTACCCGTGTATCTACCAAGCCTCCAACAAAGGGAGGAAGGGGGTGCGTGTGTTGTGTGTGTTTGTCTTTCTAGCAACAGCTCAAAATTTATTTTCAGAAGCAACCTGCTCTCTGAAATGCTTCTCAGTTCCATGGGACTGTGTCTGACTGAACTGGAGTATTACTTTATTTTCACTAAGGATACATGAAAGAGAATCACAGCAAAAGCTTGATGTGTATCTACTAAGCCTCCAACAAAGGGAGAAAGGGGGTGTGTGTGTTGTGTTTGTTTTTCTTTCTTTCTTTCTAGCAACAGCTCAAAAATTTATTTTCAGAAGCAACCTGCTCTCTGAAATGCTTCTCAGTTCCATGGGACTGTGTCTGACTGAACTGGAGTATTACTTTATTTTCACTAAGGATACATGAAAGAGAATCACAGCAAAAGCTTGAAGCAAATTCACCCAATTATGAAAAACAGTTTATTGTCCATGACATAATGAGAACTGTTCATTTATACACTTATAACACAAAAGGTGCAAATGTCTTCATTACTACATTTCAGATAGTTGCTCACAAATTATTATTCTGATACAAATAAGCAATATTGGTGTATTCTATTGGCCAAGTAATTCCAGGGAGGGTTGGGGGGGGGGGGGGGGGGACGTTTTCTGTTCACACAAGCATCCCTGGGGTGGAAAGCTCTCTGGTCTGGCTTCTGTGGCAAGGTGAAATGTTTACAACTGACTTGGCGAAGCAGGGAAGTGCAGGTAAAGCGGACGTAGCATTCTTGGGTTCTAAGCATGCCAGCAATTTCTGAGGAGGGTAAAAATAGTTAACCATGTTTGGGATAGGAGGGTAGAAGTTACTTTAAGGAACGTTTTCCATAAAGCTGAATTAAATAATTTCTTCTACGTATTTACAGAAGTTATATCGGAATACACAGGCCACTGGCCTCTGGCTTTCTCTTACCATAGTGAGCAGTTAGCATCCTAGTCCACTCAGTGACCCAATTCTGTCCAGCTTGACTCCAAACAGCCCCTGGATAGACCCTTCTTGCTTCTGCCTCGGTACCTCCAGGGTAAACCCACGAGGTCACTGAAAAACCTCTGGACAGCATTGTCACTAGTGGACATGTCCTCAGGCTGGTCCCTGATGTTTCGGGTCCACTGGAACTCAGACTCTTGTTGGTCAAAGGCACCTGGTGGAATCATGTCATCTTGCTCATGGCCTGTCACTTCTGAGACCAGTGGATGCTCCTTCTGCCTCGGTACCTCCAGGGTAAACCCACGAGGTCACTGAAAAACCTCTGGACAGCATTGTCACTAGTGGACATGTCCTCAGGCTGGTCCCTGATGTTTCGGGTCCACTGGAACTCAGACTCTTGTTGGTCAAAGGCACCTGGTGGAATCATGTCATCTTGCTCATGGCCTGTCACTTCTGAGACCAGTGGATGCTCCAGATCTTCATCTAATAATTTGGACAGACTCTGAAAGAAAGAAAAGGATGGGGGAAAGGGCAGAAAGAGTGGAAAAATGGGTGGGTTCCTGGATACTCTTTATTTTCGTATGAAACATGGTCAGTGCTGTTTTGTTTTATAAACATATTTTGTTCTTGCATCAAAAGGTGAAGGTACTGAAATGATCATGTTTAGCCTCTGGCCAACCAAGCTCCTCAGAACTCACTCTGGTTGATCTCTCCAAATGCTCTGAGTCTGCGTAGAGTTACTGTACTCTATAGTTTAATGCAGACAAATTGCTGGGCTAAGTCTCTCCTGCAGCTCAGAGTCTGCAGTATGGGATAAATCAGGAAGGACAATGGAAGAGGCTTAGAGTGAATAAGGAGCAACAACAAATTGTTGATACCTTGGGCATAATAAGAGCAGTTACGCAACGACAAAAAATATATTAAAGTTGGTGCTGGCAATATTAGGTGATGCTTTACAGACTGGAAGGTTATATAATGTATAAGAATACTCCATCACTGGTTGGGTAGCTGAAGCTTTTTCCCCAATAGTTTGGAATTCCTCCGCACACCACACACACAGATGCACACACGTGCAGGCATACACTGCTTCTCATGTTCTGCTGCTGGGGCTCCCAAGCAGGGACTGCGTTCCCTTCTGCACCACTGAGCTGAGAGGAGGATGGTCCAATTCCATGGGTAGGGTAAGAGAGGGGCCCAGGGAAGGAGCATGCAGGTGAAGCTGATCTCTGTAGGGCTGTAGATGGCAATCCTTCTGGGCAAATTCCTTTTACTCCAAAAGTTTATTGCTTCGTTCAGTCACAGAGTGACCCTAAACCTGCAAGCCCCAAAACTGACCCCACAAGGAGAAAAAAAACTAAAATAAAAAAAAACTTCCTTTCAGCTACATAAGGTGATCAGAGATTTAAATCCAGCAATCAGTTATTTCAGTTTTTCTCAAGTTTAACACTCTCTTCCCACTTCAAGATCTCCATTTTGGTCTCTTGAGTGTCTCCTGCTATACTAGCTGAGCTTGGAAGAAATGTAACTAATCTGAGGTATTTAAGCCCTAAAGAAGCATCAGTTTCTTTCAGTTCTATTGAGCTGCTGGTCACTTACCTGCAGATTGGAAATGGGCCTGGTTCTGACTTGGTTCTGACTGACAACAAGCAGCAGGAGAAATCCAGGGGAGAAAAGAAGTTTCGGGTTCATCTTTGTGTTGTGATGTCTGATTCTTCTTCCCCTTGAGTCTCTCCAGTTCAGTGTTGCTCTGCCTCCAGCTACCAGCCTTTATATTTTCCTCCAACTCCTCCCAAATCTACCTTTTGAGCTCCTGCCAGAGCAAGGATTGGTTTAAGGTTCTGATCTGCTTTCATTCTCCCCGGAGGAGGAGGGAGGAAACAGTTCTCTTTTCTGGCTGGGAGTCAAAGGAGTATTTTACGCTTGCACATTGCAGCATCATTTCGTTGCTGTGAAATTCAAAGGTCTCAGCAGCCTGCTGTCTTGGTGCTTCCTATACATGTACCTTTGCTCAGTGTTCATTGGGTTGATTGCTAAACCTTCCCTTTACCTCTGAAGAAAAACAGTACAGGGTGAGATAAGAGGTAAATTATATCCCTTATTCATTTGTCTGGTGCCTTGGTCATGGTGAAAAGCAAAATCAAAAGCACAGGGGGTTTCTTAAAGCATGCCAAGAACTAAGGGTTATTGATCAATGTGATAATAAGGCATTGGTGCCCTCTGGGAGGGACAAGTGTAGTTTGGGAAAGAAGGAAAATCCACATTGTGAAAGTATGACAAGTAATTTGCATAGTTCAAGTGTAAAATCTTACTGGCCTGAGTGACAGACAGTATGACTGAAACCATGATTTCCTGTAGATAAAACCCTTATGTGACTTAGATATCTCTTTTCCCCCGGATCCAGCTTAAAACATTATGTCTGTGTAAAACATTATGTCTATGTATATTTACGGACAAAAAAAAAGTTAGACCAGAATGTGCATGTGGTGTGTTTGTACAGTTGCTCTCTTTCTCTTTTTTAATGGAGTGAATCCAAGTACCAGGTTCAAAGAAAAAGGGTTTTATGAAATGTGGAAGGATTGGGGGAAAAAAATGATTCTGTTTCTAGCCAGAGCTTTGAGGATATTTAAAGTCATTACTATATGTTCAGCCTTCCTCTATCTCAAGAGCACCAGCTAGATGTGAGTGCTCTGATCAAGAGGCATGTAGATAAGTGATCCTTCAACACCACACTTCTGACTTCTTCATTAGGTTCTGCACCTAGAAGAGGCCTGTTTTGCCACTCTGGGGGCAGGGGGAAAGATCAGCAGTAAAATCTATAAGTTGCATGATTGGGGCAGTAGGAGACCTTGAAATCTGGCCCCACTGGAAAGCAGATATCTTCCTGAATGCAAAATACTTCATCTTGATCTTTCAGTGATCTCTTCCCCGCATGTGGTGTAGAAAGCCAAAGGCCATTAAGCTGTATCTGTATGGAGGAAAGGCAATGAGGGACCATCTGGCACTCTGTCATAATTTCTTTGAAGTTAATATTCTTGTTGGTTCTAAAAGCTTGGGGGGGAGGAAAAAAAAAAACACAACTAACTCTGTGATATGCAAGATCAATTTAAGGCACAATGGCTGCATGTCTCTAGAAAAGGTTATTCTAAGGAGATGGCTTATAAACATCCCATTTTGGCAGAAAGGTAGGTCTGATCTTTTTGCATCATTGGATTTTTATTGCTGATGTTAATTAAAATCATGTTGAATCTGAATCTTGCGAAGAAAGGAAATCATCGAAGTACAGCTTTCATTGGTACATGATTGTTTTCTCTTCAAGAGAAAGTCAAAAGTCATTTCTCAGGTTTGAGGCGTGTACTTTGCAATATCACAAGATGGTAACAGATGGTCAGGGTGGTTTCAGACTCCTCTTGTCTCTTCTAAATACATATAATGTCTTGTGATTCTGGTGACTTGTCACCTGTCCACATAGGTGAGCACACACTTGATAATGAATCTTCTTGGGCTCAAGTTCTTTGAGCTTTTATTTTTTTCTTGCTCGAGCTCAGAATTTGTAACTATTTCCTATGACTTTTGAGTTGTTTGTCTGGTAAACTGGTGAAAATATAAACACTGGCACTGTGGAGTCATTATCAGTGACTGTGTACATAAAAATCACAAAATAATTTATACAGCCTATCTGGGACCAAGTGTTTGCCCAATATCTAACTGAAATTTCCCCTGTTGCAAGTTGTGCCAGTTCCTATCACTCTAATGCTGTGCAGTGAGATGATGTCCCTAAGCAGAACAAAAGGATGCTGCATCTCCCAAAAGAGATCCTCCTTGTGAGTGCATTTCACATGTTTAGAATCTAGGGGAGGGACAATTTAGCTCCATCTAGTCAACAGCTTAGTTCAAATTGCATCTAATGCAGTGGACAAAAGCAGTTAAAACAAAAAGCTGTTCAGCAAAAATCTTGACCTGCCTTTCCAAATCTCCTCTGGTCTTAAGTCAGTGTCTGAATATTCACAATTTCAAAAAAATGCTATTGGGTTGATTCAGGTAAAAAGTAGAGCCTTTAACAGAAAACCTCAGTTTAAAGAAAGACTGTGGTGAAGAAGCCAAGCATTAAAGTTGATAGCACACAGCATGCTTAGCTGCTATGTGAGCACTGCTGCAGTTACTCATCATCCCCTTTCCCAGCTCAGTGACCCTTCTCAGCCTCCCCATGGCCCCAATCTCTTGGGCCAGCGTTTCCTGGCTCACGGAAGCTATTGAAAGGGCAGTGACGTGTTTGCAGCACTTTCGTCGAAGTGGGATCACAAGCCCTTGATGGAAGCTGGCACTGGGGGCCCCTCATTATGAGACATTAACATTTAGCTATGGTATCCAAGCATTTGCTTCATCGAGCCCCTTCTTTGCTCTCTCCCGAGTCGTCTAGCGGCTGAACTGCGTCAGGGTTCAGTGGCCAGCATCGCTTGCCCACTTTGGCTGGCAATTACCCAGCTGCAGGTGCCCGACTTGCTCCTCTGGCACTTTGTTGCCTTCACTTTTCATTATGTGCTGACAGCAAAGCCGTGCTGGGGGGAGGCAGAGGAATCTAAAACATTGTATTTTATTTATTTATTTATTTATTTTTGCTACAGAAAACAGAACAGGCACAGAGACTGTGGAACTCACTTACCCTGATGTAAAGCCCAGCATGTCTATTGGATTTGTATCTGATTAGTATCTGTAATCCAGAGTAGAATTGTGCCCCATCTCGAGAATTCCTGGGACTGTATGGTGGGAGGAATTCCCTACCTCTGTAATAAGTTGAGTTGGTTTGTTCCCCATACATGAGTTAACTTCCCTCATGAAGGGGGTTAAGAAAGAGCTTTCTCTGTGGGCAGGTCATCCCAGTGTGGCCCTCTGCAGATGTTTCCTTTCCCCACTGATGGGACATGTTTCCTTTCAGAACCCTTCCTTGAACCCTGGGACAAGGAAAAGGACCTGAGCTCCCTGAGCATAAGGAGAGCAGTAGGTTGGCATTTAGTAGCAGGTCATAGGTGGTCCTAGAGCATTAGTGTTCAATGGCAAAATTTTAATATTACATTTGTCAGGTACATTTATCATGTTCTGCTGACACTAGTGAAGCCTAGCAGGGAAACAGCATGATGGGAGGGGATGAAATAGCTTGGGACTGTGTTCAGCACTAGTTAAATACCAGTCTCTGAACCCTTCTGTGTCTGTCTACTGCTTGCTGGGAGAGTATTTGGACCCAAATCTGGTCTCTGGCACAGCAGGGGTGGAAACAGAGAAGCTGTATCAGAACTCCCTGTCTAGCCTGTAGCAACTGAGATTGGTCCAACTTCTTTCATTACCGCTCCGTGTTGGCCCTTCCATGGCATTAGGGAAAGGAGAACAATATACAGTGATTCACAGCTGGGTATTCTGGGCCCTCTTTCAATGATTCATCTCCTCAAGGAGGTTTTTCTTCATGCTCAAGAGTATTTTTCGGTCCAGGAGTCACGCTGTGTGGATTGATACTGAAGATCCCTGGTTCTGCTCTGCGTTCATCTTGCTGATGTTTATAACACTTTTCTGTGAATTCTCTTGATGTCTAAAGTAAAGCTACTTTTCCCAATATATTATTTTAGATACCTTCGGAATTTTAAATTCAGGCTTTATTGATCTATGTCTTAATGCTTTACAACAGAAATATCACATTTGCAGTTTGCAAAGCATACAACTGAATAGCAGCTAAAAGAGGAAGGTCCATAGTCCCTAACCTCTGACATGAGGCAGAACGAGGTCTGCTCCATGGGGATTCCATGTCCTCACTTGTTTCGAGCTGAGGGAAAGATTTCCCTAGCAAAGCCAGAAGATCCTTCCCATGAGAGCTCATCTAATTGCCTGTGTTCTTAATGAAGCATGTGGTGACCTCTTCTGGTGAAAAGAAAATATGCCTCAAAATTTGGATAGAACGAGCCCTCGTGGAAAAAGAAGACAGGTCAGATACTCAGAGAGGGTTGGATAAAATGACAACCTTAATCTAAGAACATGGTACCTAGAGTGCCAGAAGGGGCTGAGTGATGCTTCCATAGACATTGGACCCTTGGGAAGGCACACGCTGTGTGTGTGATACGTGAACGAGTGAAGATGAGACACGGGACTCTGGGTGTGTAGTGCGGTGTCGGGTGCTCTGGTGGGTGTTTACATTTAGATCCTTCACTAGCTGTGTTGGCCTAGTCTCTTATGGTGGATTTTGCAGAATTTAAGTTCACATTAGACCAAATGTGATTGGGGAGGACATTTCTTACATGTTTTAGCTGGAGTAATATTCAACCAATTTTTTCTTCCCATCTAACGCATCCTGGAATTGCTGAGCAGTGTCAGCGGTGCCCACTGATGTAGAGCTTTGCTAGCAAACAAGCCAAATAAAGGGGCAAGAGTTCATGCCATCCCCTCATGCTATTTATTGCTGCATGCCGTGTGTCAGTATTGAGCGTGCAAGAAGAGAAGCCATTTCTAGAAATGGCTAAACAGCTACAGGAATGAAATGGCATCTGTCCTGGAAGTTGATGTGGTTGTTTACTTCACCCCTCCCTGCCCTGGCTGACTGATGATGAACCCAAGAATAACTTGGCTAACTAAAAATGTAGTCTGTTACATAAAGCTTGTCCTCCACTGTCACTGTGCAGGCTTTGTTCAGGGTGCAAGAGCAGCGCTGTGAGTGGAACTGGAAGACAAGGCTAATGAAGCTGCTCTTTCTTAGTAACTGACTGTAGCCATGGCGATTGTTATCATCCCGTGTTCTTGGTTGGACAACACTTCTTTGTTTTCCCAGAAAATACTCACTGCCCTTGCC